AAATTCTGTGTTTTTCTGTCAATATGGGGTGCTGTGTGTACATTAATGAGGAAAAAAATGAACTTAAATGATTTTAGCATAGGGCTGCAATATAACAAAGAGTGAAAAATTTAAGGGGGTCTGAATACTTTACGTACCCACTGTAAAAACTTTATTTATAATTTTGCAAGTACTTGTTTCCCTGTGCTTATTTTGGTGGACCATTTAAAAAAAGGCTTCTTGGTTCAGTTTGCTGATTTGCCATTAATTAGGTTTATTACAATGATTAATTAAAGTTTAAAGATACAACTGTGTAATCAATTATGCCTCTTAATTTCATCACAGATTATTTAGGCCTGTTATTTGATGGAGTTTCCTCTGAGCAGTTTGGGAAAAACTACATTTAGTTTGTGAGCTGTTCCAATTACTGTAGCATCTGCATGTAAACAGCCTAAATAGTCTACACGTCATACAGAAACATCCGGGTTACCTGCAGGAATGTCAGGTGAGGCTGGGGTTAAATACCTGAGGAGATTAGGGGGGCGGTGCTTCTTTCCTGACAGAGACGGCTCCCCGACCTTTGAGACTAGCACGGTGGAAGAGACAACAGGAGGCAGATAAAGTAGCCTAAAGACCAACATGTCTACAGATTTCACTCAGGACAGTGTGTTACATTTCCTCCAGAGCAGCGGAGGCTCCGTGAAAAACTCGGATCTGCTTCTGCACTTCAGAAGCTTTATCCGAGATCATGCGGACCGAGACAGAAACCGGGAGCTCTTCAAGAAGTTTGTCAACTCTGTGGCCATTGTCAGACAGGAGAACGGCGTCTCTTACGTCGTTCTCAAGAAGAAATTCAGGGGACAGGCACCGGGAGACGGCGTAGTGGGCTCCACGGGGCCGCCGCGGCTCCCTGCTGACAAAAAGACCGAGCCCTACACGGAGAGTACCAACCTGAGCCCGGCTGCGAGCGCGGAGAAGGCTCGACTAAGAAAACTACAGCCGTGGGAGGTGTCATCCGCCCTGTCGGGGGAAACCGCCAGCAAAACAATCCTCCCCGCAGCTGGAATCTTGCTCAACAACAAAGTGGAAACGAATTTTAACCTGAAACGACAGCAACAGGTAAAAAGCACATCTGAACTTTCTGGCAGACCAGGAGCAGCAGCAGCTCAGGTGGTGTGTCAGGTCTCAGAGAAAGCAGAACGGGAGACCCCCAGGATGACTGAGCCTGCTGCACGAGATCAGTGCACTGCGTTGGGACAGCAGAGAGGGGGGTATGTTCCCCTTCCTGGGGTCACACCAGTGGTCCCTGCAGTCAGACATCTGGGAGAAACCAGTCAGCAGGTCCCAGTCCCTCAAATCCTGGAAGGGAGGGAAGCCTGCCTGCAGTCTGAAGGACGTCTTCATCAAGGGGTTCCTCTTCATCATGTCAGTCTTGATCCTCAGGTCACCCCACGCCGCGTCAGACACAGGGCCAGCTACAAATCTGCAGTCTCATTTGATGAGGAGGAGGAGGAAGATGAGGTCCCAGTGAGGCCAGGATCAGCAGGAGGAGAGTGGCCCCTAAGTGATCCTCTTGGAGATACAGTGAAGACCATCTTCACCTCCTCACCTTGCGTCATAGAGTCGCCTGCGCCTCCTTCTGTTGTTTCCTCCTCCTCCTCCTCTTCATCAGAAAGGAAAGTCCCTATGATTTTTGTGCAGAATGTTGAAGAGGAAGCACTGCCCCCTGGTGGCCCAAGGAGCTTTGAGGAAGGGGTGGGGCTTAGAGGACATTGGGCGGGGTCAGAGCTGGAACCCATGTATGTATCAGGGGAGTCAGTGACCACCAGAGGCAGTCTACCTTTAGATCGAACTAAAGACCCTGTGCCCCCTGGTGATATCCACCAGGACCGCCAAAACTCGCAGCCTCCAGTGGTGCAGCCGGGACCCTGGCAGGGGCTGCATCAGAACCAAAGGGCGTGGTTGTCCTCTAGCCAGGGCAGCCTCTTCTCCCCCTCATCTGATGCTGGCTTCTCCAGCAGCGGCTGGCCACCCTCTGGCTCCTCCAGGGGATCAGGGCAGAACAGCAGCTACGAGGATGTAAGGGTTAAAGCAGGTATGACAGTTGTTTGCATGTCAAGATTAAATGGTAAGTCAGGAGATTTTTTTTTCTTTTTTACATATTTTTCTTATTGTTAACAAATCTCACGAAAAGGCCAAAATCATCAATGAATGTAACCAACAGCATCCAGATCATATAGGATGTGAACATTGTTGGTATAATGTGACAGGTAATGAAAAATGCTTGGTGTTTTAAAAATTTGGACAACAACAACAAAAAAAAAAAAGCCACCAGCCTTTGGAAGTTCTTATCAAATTAAGTTTCTGTCACTAAGGTTTAGCCCTGGTTTTAGAGTTGATAGAATTATTGCCTGATTTTTACTATATAATCTTATAATGTAATAAGTCATCTTGACTGGATTAAGAATACTTTTCCTCAACCAGGAGCTATCACAGTTAGAGATATGGTTCTCCTCTAATATGTCAATCAAACTGTGGGTGGAGCTTTGAATTGTACTTTTCAGGAAGTTTGGGTTTTTTGCCCTTCATAACATTTTTAATTTGTTACTTATGTACATATTAAAGGTGCATTGAATAAGATTTTACACACAAGTCACGTGAAAATGGGACAGGATGTGGTGTCTCTCAGCTATCTTAACCCCTTCCATGACACTCTGCTGCCTACAGCTCTTCCGTTGTTATTCCAGCTTTCTATCCCGTGTTGTCAAAGTATGGTCCGTACATTAGCCCCTCCTGCCACCTCTGTTGTGAAGAGCTTTTTGTCTCACTGGATCCTCTAGTGGCTGAAAAGAAATTCGGTAGAATACCTTTCAGGCAAACCTCTCTGGTGTTGTAGCAGAAAATGGAAATCAGTAGACAAAAATGGTAGATTTTCTCTAACTGTGCTGTGTCAACAGGGAAGACTGGGAGGGTAGATAAAGTCCAAGAAGTACTCCAGCGAGCCCAAAGGACCAAGCTGGTGTCTATGACACATGAAGACAGCAAGCTTGCAGCATCACCTTGGCATCACTCTACAGGAAATATCTATGACGACCAGGAGCCCACAGCTCGTTTGCAACCGTTCCATCAATCTATGGACCATCTCCATGTTGACCAGTACTCTACAACCCATGTGTTGCCATGGCACCTGTCCACAGGTGAGCTAAAATTTAGAGATGCACTGATTACAGGTTTCTTGGCTAATTTCCATTTTTTTCAAGTCTGACCTGCCGATTCCGAATTTTTTCTTTCTAAGAGCAGTAATTGACAGCATCCAGAGACACTTTTGTAACTTTTCTTTAATTAAATTGTATGATCAGTCAAGGCAATTTCCAATCTCTGCTGATCGATTGGTGCTTCTCTAATTAGTTGAACTGTTGTTCAATTGTCTGTTGAGCACAAGGTTTGCTGTTCAACTGAGAACAATTAGTCCATGACTTTTTTGTGAACTTTTGTGAAGTCTCTTGTGCTGTTACTGTTAACTGTAAATACTGTATACTGTAACCAGATTTGAACTTCTGTCTCCAGTGCACATTGTCATTCTTTTTTGTCCCCTATTTTCTTGTGTGTCCAGTCCAACTGTGAAATGAATGTCAGAGAGGAACTGTCTGAAAGTGTTTAAAGCCTACTGAGCCCTTTACTCCACCCCACAGATGAGCTCTCTGACAACCATGAGGAGGAGGAGTTGAGTGAGGGCTCCACCTCCACGCCTCAGTTGCGGCAGCGTCCGGCGGTTACCAGGCGGCTCAGCAGCCATTTGAGAAACAGGATGTGCCGCAGCCTAGGGGCTGACCTCGACCAGATTGTCCAGGAGGAGGTAATGGGAGGGGGAGGAGGAAGTGAGGTTGCCCGACTGAACCGCCTCCACCTGATCTCATCCTCACTAAGCCTTCGCACCAACCTGTCTTCTTCCTCACTGTCATCCTGTTCCACGCCACCACACAACCACAGCTTTGCTGAGCTGGTCGAGGGGGCAGACCGTAGAGCGGGGAGGAGGAGCCTTCCCTCCACTGGTCACACCGAAGGCACCAGTAGGCAGGTGAGACTTACTGACAGTACAGTTGGTTTTTGTTTAATGCCCTATTCTACCCTACTGTACACCACTTAATTTAAATGGTCAGGGAGAACAGGGTCAGTACCACTCCTGTCTGAATAGGATTTAACGAAGAGATCTTTGTGTTAAAACCAGCAGAGCAGACCTAACATTTTTCATATGGAAGAAACATGTCACCCAGTGTGGCGGTGTGGCTCACTGGTGTGGTTATAATAGATTTTGGACAACAGTGAAGGTTAACCAGGATCTAATAGAATACAGCTATATTTAATTGACACGTGCATGGATTTTAATTAAGTTTTTCCTGTCGTCAGTCATCAGTTCCTCTGGAGACCAGGGAGCATGCCTGGCTGGTAAAGGGGGCTGCAGGCTCCTGGACTGACATCTACGCCCTTTTCAGAGAGGACTCGTCCCTGCTCAACAGACACGACTTCATCTCTGGCTTCACTGTGCTGCACTGGATCGCTAAACACGGTGACCATCGAGTTCTCAACACCTTATGGTACGCAGCCAGCTGTTAGCTTTGTCTGGGTTACACTCTGTACAACAGGAAGCTCCAGTTTATGTAGCGTTCTCAAACTGGTTTCACATCAAAAAGAAACTGTTTGAATAGTAGCAAGCGTTGTCATCTGTACTTAGTGTCTAAGTTGCTAACATGATTCATCAGTATGTCTCTGACAGTGGTCTGATGCTTTTTTTAAATGAGACGTCACCGCTGGTCAGATTACTGGCCAGTATGGATATTTATGGTCACCAGAGCATGATCTAATCACTTTTCTAACCTTCTCTTGCACCAAATTCAGGTCTAAATTTCCTTTTGAACACAAGAAAAATCTAAATTTGAAATTTGACAGCATTCTAACTTTCCAAAGGATAAAGACAGATTTTACATTTATAGCTCAACTACTACTGTGGATCTAAGAACAGCTAAATCATCAGTTCTGTCTGACAGTTTTATATTGTAAATAAAATGGGTCATATTCTGTGTTGTAGCCATTTTAGAACATCTGAAATTTGGCTTGTTGGGGTTAGTTTTACATTGTCAGATTCGGCTTGATCTGTTATTGAAGTAGAAGTGGATACTGGAAGTAATCAAATCCTGTTGCCGTAGCCACTTCCTTCTCTTTGCTCTGGGCATCTTAACCTTCTGAAGCCAGTGATTCCCATGCTTTTTAGCATTATTATTGAAAGCAAGGGACATAAAGAAGAGAGTTGAGATGAACTGCTGTCAAAGGTTCCTTGTTTCCTCATTTTCATCAAATTATTTCATTACGCACCAAAAAATTTACCTTAATTTTCTTGGCGTATCAAAATGCACTTAAAGAATACTTTACTTAGTAAATTAGTTTTAAACTTTTTTTTGATGCCATCCATTGATTTGTTCTCTTGGGCTGCGGTTTCAGGTATGGAGTTGAAAAATCCGGTCTGACCTTTGACATAAATGCCAGGTCAACATGTGGCCACACGCCCCTCCACATTGCCGCCATCCATGGCAATAAGAACATAATGCGGTTGCTGGTTGCAAAGTTTAACGCTGACGTGAAGCTGAGGGACATAGCGGGAAAGAAGCCCTGGCAGTACCTGAGCCCCACCATACCACCGGACATGTTTGAGCTGCTGGGAGCACCGGCGCGGGCTGCTCTGGGAGAAGTTGGGACAGTAGACCACGGCTGGGTACAACAACAACAGCAGCGCCGGCGACTGCGGCATAATATCTCCTCGGCTTCATCAGGACAGAGGCCGTTGACTGTTGCAGGCACAACAAAGGTCAAAAGATCGTCATCGATCGCTGCATTCCTTAAACATAAATCACTGCAGCTGCAGGCATTTCAGGGACATCAGTCTGACTCCTCAGTTTAAAAACGCCACGTTGGATTTTGTTTGGAGAGTTCTGAAACCTGACTGGTTCACCGACCACATGGCTGAATGGCTGATAGGTGGCCAGTTAGCCATAAACAGCATTTAATTTTGAGTTGAATCACAGCACAGCCAAGATCATACAGCAGCTAATGGTTTGCTACTTGTGTTCCACTGTCAGATATACAATGCGTGCTGGTTATGACCTTGTAACAAGTTCAGAAGCCAGGGCTATTATTTAGCTATGGCTTAGCCCCATTAGCTTAACATCCTGTTACTATAACATCCGATTACAAAGAGTCCAGTCAGACCAGCATTTACAGTATACTGACAAAGTTTTGGACTGACACAACATCTTCTTGGCACTGCAAAAGTATCAAAGTCCAAAATGGAGTAAAGCTATTTTATTAGCTGTTTTGCACCTAATTTTAAGAAGCATTTTAATAACTTTTAATTTACAAAAGAGGTATGGTTGAAATTCAGCAGTCAGACTGGAGTCTGTGGCTTACCAGCTACAGTAACTAAACAGCTGCCTCCTCTAGTACATATAGTCATATCTCAAAAAAGCTTCCAGCAACACCTGTTTCACAAAGGTGCTCAGATGAATTTTGCTGTGCCTCTTTATGGTCTGGCCTGGTTGCTTATAATGGCAAAAGCTAGTAGTTATAAATGGGGACTGGTATCTGACAGTGGAACATGAGGGACATCCTGTGTATCAGTGGAATAGGGATCAGCTGCAGAATACTAATACAGTTGACAGCAGCACGAGCCATTCACACAACACTGATATACCATTAATCACAGGATTTGTTCCTGAACCATCACTGCAACTGCTGTCAAAGCTACTTTATGTGAAACCAGAAGAGAAAAGTTCCTCCTTGCGACTGTGGTGGAGCATGTTTTGTTAAACTGTAAAAGAAACCCAAATGCCCAGTAAGACATTTCAGGTGATGCTTTATCATGAGTTTGAAAGAAAGTTTGACTTTTCACAGCAATAATTAAAATTTTGGTTCTCAAGACTGTGCCAGGTTCAGTTTTAGAATCTGTTGCTTTTTCCTGCTATTGATTTGCAAAGATTTCAGTCTTTTAAGCCCAAAACCCTGAGGTCAGTCAAAATAGCGGTAGCAAATGGGAGCGCTAGTTTTTGTGCCTGAGGTTTCACTTGCACTAGATTTGAAGGCCAAAGGCACGATTGTATCACAAAGACTGCTGGATGTGAGAGTTGATTTGCATGCACTAGACAGAGTAGATCACTTTTAAGCATAATTGTCCGACGTGTGTGTGTGTGAGAGGAAATAAATCACTCGGAAGCTGTGATTCACTCAGACGTGTTCAGAGTTCAAAGACTGCAACAGAGATGATAGTACCTCTTTTTATCTCTTGTTGCGGACAACTTATCTTTGGTAACATCAATTTTATATTCCTCATTATGTTTCCAAATCTGCCATCAGGTTTTAGAGTGATTTTCACCCTTCCAGGCAGCCTTTAGTCCAGTGGTACTAATAATAATGCAGATTGAACCCTTGAACAGAGCCAGGCTAGCTGCTTCCTGTCCTTGTGCTAAGCTAACTGTCTCCTGTAGCTTCATATTTACCATACAGATATGAGAGTGGTGTTAATTCTCTCACCCAGCCCATGGCAAGATTGCAAATAACTGTATTTCCCAAAATGTCAAACCGTTTCCTTTAACTTGGTGAGTAAAATTCTATTGGCACCGATAGGAATGATGGGCAACATATTAGAATAAAAGCCAAGTTGAAATAAATTAAGTTTCTGAGACTGCAGTTTGTGATAGTATTGTATTTAGTTACATTTTGTTATTTTTGTTCCATTGCCTTTATATTCTTTTATTTTTTACTTTATTTTTTTAGATTATTGATGCAGCATTTTCCGGTAGTTGCGAGCAAAATCTCAGATTCCGAAGCGCCTGAACACATCACACTAGATTTTTTTTTTTTATAAATATAACTTACTAATAATGTAATGATAACTGACTAACTGAAGTGAAAGCTTATCTTGCTAATATTCAGATTTTTGCTGTGCTTGGTGGTCACCTTGTGCAAGTAAAACAGCGGATGCCTAGATAGACAGTGAGCATTATAAAATACTGAAGGAGGATTTGAAAAATAATGAGCAGGCATGACTCCT